CCAAAATCTCTCATCTCCTCCTCGATTTCACACTCGCACTGACGACCCACTCATTGCTTCTCATACAATTCCACTGGAGTGGTTGCTTGCCACGTGATGTCATTCAACAGCCACTTCAATGTATGCCTGGTCCATCTCCATTTTCTCCTACATATTTGTTGACCAGTCGGCTGTTGGTTGGTTTGTTGCCAGAGTTTCTTGTTACTACTTTTTTATAGCTATTTGGTCTTTAGTATGGAGCCAGAGAAGGCGGCTGTTGCCTTGAATAGCTTACTAGTTCACTAGTTCGGGTAAAGAGGGATGGTTGGGCGTGGGGCTAACGACCCTACACCACAAAAGCTATCAAACTGCTACAGAAACTTAACACATTTTTAGAAATGTTTAAATCATTATAAAAGTAAGGTGCACTTGCTGTAGTGGGGAATGATTGAAAATGAAATGAAAATTTGGGCCAGTGCAGAATTCCAACCACTGACATTTGGATTACTTTCTTTTGGATGCAGTTCTCACCTACAGTGATTCGGTCAGGCTACACTCACTAGTAGTAGAAATGAACAATGTGTATGCCCGGCCGATAACTGCTACCTTGCCGTGGTGGTCGGGCTTGAATGCCGCGGTGACCCAACAAGCTAAACTGGCTGGGACTCATGTCCCTGCAGGTCCTACCATGCCAGGAAGGTTGTTTGGATAGCGGTTAGACTAAAAGCAGTTACCATGGGGTACATGGGCTCCAGTTTCCAATTGGATCGAATGGCGTATGAACTCATATGGGTCACCGGCAACCATGGGAATGCAGCTCCTGACGCTGCTCCGCTGCCTTGCGGATTAGACTCCAAGTCAAGGGCTCGGGGGGTGGTCCCTTAATAAAACCACCTGCTTCGGTCTGGGCGCCCGGGCAGTATCTCAGCCCGCACACAATGAATGAATTGAAGCAACGAACTCTCATTGAAACTCAACGCGCGCTAGTGAAAAATGATTCCAAGCAATATTGATCCCTCAAGCAACTTATTTCCTTCCTATCTTACTTTTATTTTTACACATAGTTTCCTGTATTTTACCTTTTCTAACCTTGGCTTCTTAACCTTCGACAGCCTTTCGCCTTTGTCGAGATTCCCAGCCTATCCGTGTCGTTTCGAGATGTTAGTGAGTAGTCCTCAAAATGGTTGTTCCCAATGCGACTTCTAGCACAGATATCCTGAAACCGCGTGCTGCGTTCAAGCTGGCTACTTACAATGTTCGGACGCTGATGCAAATCGGACAACAGGCAGGGTTGGCAAGAACTTTGGAAAGCCTCGCTATCGATGTCTGCTGCATTTCGGAGACCCGCATTCAAGATCCCAGTGAAGTGCTTCGACTATCCTCTCCATCTGGAAGTTCTAGTAGTATGTACCACCTGCGCTTATCCGGGGACCCAGTGGCGTCGGCATCCGGCGTAGCTGGTGTCGGCATCGCACTGAGCGCTAGAGCCGAAGCTGCACTGCTCGACTGGATTCCCATTAACAGTCGTTTATGTGCTGTGAGGCTGGAAGGATATACGAAAGTAAGGAGTAGTAGGCCAGATAGGCGGTGTCTATTTGTTGTCTCTGCCTATGCACCGACGGATTGCAGCCCGGATGCAATGAAGGATGAGTTTTACTACCAACTGAGCGATCTGTTGAAACAGGCGGGTCGGAGGGATATCGTAGTGCTAGCTGGGGACTTGAACGCACAGGTCGGGCGTCTAAGCTCAGAGGAGAGTCGTCTAGGTGGTCAGTGGGGACTACATGGTCGCAGGTCAGATAATGGGGACCGTCTTCTGCAGCTTTGCGCGGATCACAACCTATTTCTAGCCAGCACCAACTTCCGGCACAGCCATCGTCGTAGCGCTACCTGGCGTCCTCCCTCTGCGAAGCAAGCTTGGACTCAGATTGATCATATTGCGGTCAGTTTCCGGTGGCGAGGATGCATACAAGACTGTCGCTCCTTCTGGAGCACATGCCTAGACTCCGATCATGCGTTAGTGTGTGCCAAGTTCGTCTTGCGATTTGGTGGGGTTCGTAAAAACCGTCGTCTAAGCGTTGATGTGAGCAAACTAGTAGCACCTGCTACTTCTTTGAAATATCAGAATGAGTTGAAAACAATGCTTGCCAGCAACCCCCCAAGTAGTATAGATGAACACTGGCTTCATGTGCAAGGTGCCATGCAAAAGGCGAGTGTAGCCGCTTGCGGCTTGAAAGAATGCTCCGCTAACAACCACTGGGTTTCTGCGAGTTCCTTGCAACTCATGGATGAACGCCGGTCCATTCCGGCTGGCAGTGAATACAACAATCAGCGAAAGGCGCTCACGCGCAAGATTAGACAGTGTTTACGTAAGGACCGCGAAGCCTGGTGGTCAGAACGTGCGTATGAGATGGAGTCAGCTGCTGCATCTGGCAACAGTCGGAAGCTGTTCCAACTCATACGAGCCACCGGCAGCAAGAAACAAGGTGTCAGCGAGACGGTCTGTGAGGCAGATAGCACTCCAATTACCAGCCTGAAGAGACGCCTGGAACGCTGGGCAGAGCACATCGGGAAGCAGTTCAGCTGGCCACCAGCTTCATTGTCTACTATCACTAGCCCGAGTGCTCCTTGGTCGGTTATTACCGACCCACCCACCGAAGCGGAGGTCCGTAAGGAACTCCAAGTTCTGGAACGCCATAAGGCGCCCGGCCCAGACAAATTACCCCCGGCTCTTTTTAAAGAGGGTGGCGAGACTCTCATAATGGCTCTAACTGGGTTGTTCAGGAGGGTGTGGGAGACAGAGAGCGTACCATCAATGTGGAACGAAACCATTATCGTCCCCATCTTTAAAAAGGGTCGACGTAATTCGTGTGACAACCATAGGGGTATCAGTCTGTTACCAGATGCGTCTAAAATATTGGCTGCTGTCATGCTTCGCAGACTGTGCAAAATACGTGAAGGATTGATTCGCGAAGAGCAGGCTGGGTTTCGTTCAGGTCGTGGATGCATTGATCATGTGTTCACCCTTCGTCAGTTGTTGGAACACCGCCACACGTATTGCAGGCCAACGATCGTTGTGTTTCTTGATATTAGGGCTGCCTTCGATTCGTTGGACAGAACTGTGCTCTGGAACTGTCTGTTAGAGAGAGGTGTACCTGAGAAATTTGTTAACATCTTGAAAGCCCTATACAGAAACACCTCAGGTAGAGTGAGGGCATACAACCAACTGTCATCACTGTTCCCAACCAACAGTGGGGTTAGACAGGGTTGCCCAATCTCGCCATTTCTCTTTAACTTTGCCATCGATGACATTCTGGAGTCAGCTCTGAAGGATGTGCGTGAAGGTGGTGTAGATCTGCTACCTGGAAATAGACTTTTCGACCTCGAGTATGCAGACGATATCGTCTTACTGTGCGATAGCATGCAGGCTGCCCAAATCGCACTTAATCAGTTGGCGATCAGTGTCTGTAAGTATGGTATGTGCTTTGCACCATCTAAGTGCAAAGTACTGTTACAAGATTGGCAGGAGTCTGTACCTGCACTCACTCTTGCGGGTGAACCGCTTGAAGTTGTCGATAAGTTTGTGTACCTGGGTAGTTGTGTGAGTGCTGGCGGAGGGGTGACGGATGAGATTTCCAACCGTATAATGAAAGCTAGAGTGGCATACATCAACTTGAGCCACCTCTGGCGCCGTCGCGACGTTAGCCTGGTTGTCAAAGGTCGGGTATACAATGCTTCGGTGCGGGCTGTCTCGCTCTACGCCTGTGAAACCTGGCCTCTCCGAGCTGAGGATGTGCGGCGACTCTGCGTATTCGATCATCGCTACCTCCGCAGGATCGCTTGCTTTCGATGGCATCATCGCGTGAGTAATTCTGAGGTTCGGCGGCGTGTGTTTGAACACAGTGGAGATCACCATTCATTGAGTGTCGTTATCTGGAAACACCGGCTCCGGTGGCTTGGACATGTGCTGCGAATGTCATCCCAGAGGCTTCCGTACAGGTCTCTGTTCGCTAGCCCTGGGAGGGGATGGAAAAGGCGGAGGGGTGGTCAGCCCATGACGTGGCGTCGTGGTATGAAGGATTTCTGTTCTAGATTAGCATCGGTTGGTGTGTCACGACTCCCTGGTTGGAGTCTGAGAGATAGCTCAAATCGATGGCTTGAAACGTTATCGGATATGGCCAAGAATCGTAATCAATGGCGAATGTGTTGCGATTTCCTTCTTTCTTTCATTCCCGATGATAGTTAACGAACACTGTTTGAACCTGTTAAGAATGAGTGTTTTCCTTCCCGATGAAGTTCTTTATTCGTTCTCTACTTATATATATATTTTTTCTTTTCCTGCCTTCCTTCCATTTTTTTCATCTATGTTGTTTTATTATTATTGTTTGGCGCATCCTTCTTGGTGCCATATTGTACCAAGCTCTAATGCGTTTAAATAAATAAATAAATATAGTTGGGTAGCTAGTGAAACCCTGTTGTTAATTTCCCTCTTTCATCCTTTCACTAATAAGTATTTATATTCAGTTGCTGAATCTATTTTTAAAAAGCAGCTGGTTAAGAATAAAAAAGTTGGTAGATGTAATGGCATTTCCGCCATTCACACAAATTATGAAAAACTGGAAAGAATTAAATTAGGGAAATCGCCGAAAAGATATCTTTGCTGAACTTCGTGTTCTCTTCTTTCTAATGTCCATGTGGGTGTTTTCCACAATAAGAATTAGATTGACTACATACATATTGAAAGGGGGAAACTGCTTGATGGGAACATTAAATAAATTATTTTAAAAAAGAAAGTAATTCAATCACTTGGCTGATTAAAAAAACGTAGATTTTGGTCTAATTAGCGAGGATATTATCAAAACATTTAGGTAAAAACTTTATACCTACTAATGAGTAGCATAAATCTCTGCAGGACAAAATGTCATGTGTTTTTTAAAAATCACATTGTAAAAAAAAAGTTTGTGGATAACAATAATAATAGGAAGAATAATGTTCTTGAATACTCAGAGATAAAGTTAATAAAGCCAAGAGTTTAACATCTTAGTACTTCAATAATATATACTGTAAAGGAAAAATTATTAAAAGGTAAGAACTAACAGTGATAAAATTCCCTTTGTTACATAGGTCTACAGTACAGCATTTAACTGTAAATTGTACAGATTTGAGATTCCAGTAAAACCAGTTAGATACAGTCTTACAGTGTTTTACACATTGTCTTGTAGTAATCCCTCCCGAAAAGTAACGCCAGTATTCTATTGTCTAAAAAGAATATAATAGAACATTAGACTATTATGAAGTCTCCGTAATTATGTTCATTTAAAATCACAAAGTAAAATAACTCCAAAAATTTTTATTCTGTGTTTAAATCAGTAAGCTCTGGTCTGGATAACTTGGCTTCCAAAGGAAACTACGGTGAAATCTCACCACTTGAGCTGTGCAGACTGCAAATTTTTAATCAGTTCGCAAATCGTGAATTTGATTTACTCATATGAATCACTCCTTTGATCTCCCGGTTCTCATTTTATTAATTTTCTTTTCTGCAGCTAGATCAACCAAAATTATTACTGTGTTTAAACAGTGATACTTTGGATAGTCCATTTTACATAAAATGAACAGTTAGCTGCTCATGATTAGGATATAATATTCGTCTTCCACTCGGTTTCATTCATTATTGCGACTAAAATTCTTCTAGTTAATTGAATAAACGTAATCTACTATTGACGTGAGCTTTATTATTTAGTAAATAATATTTCTGTTGGCATATAATAAGTCAAGACAAGTGCTGTTCACCAGAATGAAAAAAAACCCACTAGGCACCGGTCCTCATCGTCATGTTTCCATGTACTACCTTTATAATACCATATTGATTTTTCTTATTAGATGTATCATACAGTGAAAACAGCATTATTATATACTGGATGATGTTTCGAACACAATTCAATATTGTTCATAGTCAGATCAATTATAACCACACAGCTTTGAAACTTTGTTTTGCAGTATTCTTTATTCCTTCTTATTCGTCTTAGGGGCAGTGTAATTTTCCAGATGTTGAGGACAAGTGTTGAATCATTTCTGTTACATGTATTTCCAGTTGATTCAATGAATAAGGCTTCCAGTATCAATCTCTGCTTACACCCTGTTATATCAGACTTTAGAACTGTCATCCTAACCCATCCTATTCTATGAGCGTGCGTATAATTGCGTGTAGTGCTATAGCTGATATGTTCTCCAGATTTCTTATCTTATTAAGGTTAACTGATCTAGATTTTCCTAGGTTTTTGTGCTTTGCTAGTCTGACTGACCGGGTTATACTACTTTGACCTATGTATCTGACCTGATAATGATTGCAGACAGAGTGTTAGATAAACTAAATTGTTTTGTTTAACATAACTTGTTTCTAAGTAAATCTATGGGTTTGAAGGCGATTTTTTCGTTCTAAAATCTAATATAACAGTATGGAGGGAGAGATTGATCATGGAAGCCTTATTTATCGAATCAAACAAAAATACATGTAGTAGGAATGTTTCAGCACCTGTCCCAGATATCTGGAAAATTCTACTACTCCTACGGCAAATAGAAAAGAATAAAGAAAACTATAAAAGGAAAGTTTCGAAGCCGTGTAGTTATGATTGATATGATTATGAACAATAGTGAATTGTGTTCGAAACGTCATCCAGTAAATAGTAATACAATTTCACTGTGTGATATATAGAATGAAAAAATTAATATGCAATTACGTACTACCACAGTACCCACGTTTTCCTCATATAATTTTAAGCTTACCAGACTTTAGATGTAATAAATTCAAGGTACACTCAAATTATGGTTAGCAGTTATAATAATAGATACAGTTGACATGTATCGTCAGATTTATAAGGAAAATATTGATAGTTTATACTTCATCAGTCCCAAACCAAGATATACACTACACATAACTAAATCAGGCTTCGAAAAAAATTTATTACTTATTATCATTTGAGGATTGCAGGTTTTGCTCAAAAGTCATCACGTCAGGTATACCTCAGCAGTTTCTGTTACAGAGTTTCTATTACCAGGTTCCAGAAAGTTCCTCCTCGTAACCTCGAAATATGAAGTGAGACATATATAAAGAATGCAAGTTCACATAAGAGGAATTCCTCACACCACCCCCCCACACACACACCTCAGATTCTCCCAGTTGCAATGCACACAACAAAATGCCCGCCACATATAAAACCATTCAAATTCAATTCACTTCAGTCAGATACACAATAATTTTTCAACATCACGCAATATTAAGTTCCATTACCGTTATCATTTTTGATTAATGATCTACTGAGTCACGACTTTTCAGTCGGTTGAAATACGATTGTTTTTTCCGTCTCAAGTAGACTGCAAATTACACTCGCTTATTTATTCATTTATATCTATGGAATATCCGTCAATTATTGTCTGTCAGTTTGTGCGTCTATCCTTCTGTCTGTCTGTCTGTCTATCTGACTGCATAACTGAACTTTCATAATTTCGGCTCTCAAAATAAAAAAATTAGTCTATAGGATAATTAATTACCTCATAGTGGTTGTTATTTACGTCTGTGAGTACTCAGATCAAAGATAGATAACGCTGCATCGCTTTATTATTGCTGCTAGTCAGTGTTTATAAACTCCTGGAGATATTGAACAGCTAGACAAAATGATTAATATTGGGAAATAAGCTCCACTGGTAGATTGTATGATCTACAGTGAATATTATTCAGATGATTCCGTTAACTTATTGACTACTAACTACTTCAAACAACAATAATTTAAGTATTTCTATAATGATAATTAGAGAATATAGTTTGAGTGAATACACATTTTTGATAGTTCCTCATCAGGATTTGCAAATATCTTTTGGGATTAGTCAGCACAGAAAATCAATGTCATTAGGGTGATTAGAATAAAGATTCAAGTATTTAGATCAGTGGATAATAATCAAAACTGCGATAATAAAAGCTTAACTTATTATGAAGTAGCAAGGTAGTTGTCAGATCTAATTAGAACTTTGAAATGCTTGGTGTTTAATTACAGACTAAAAGAAACTTTGATTTTATAGACGAAATCTGGTGTTAGTCCTTCCAAATTCGCTTTTGACTTCATTTCTAAATTGTTACTAGATTGTCAAGTGTACGATGGTAAAATGCTTCAAATCCTAGGGGATCTTCAACTTCATCAAATGGTGAATGCACAGTTTCAATTCATCGACATAACAGAACAATAAGTTTCTGATATTTTTGGAAAGATAAGTGCAAGAAAATGTCTATGGGGTTGGATTCATAGGCACATTGTATTTTTGACAAAAAATTTTGCTGATGAAATGAAACTGTGCATTCACCATTTGACGAAGTTGAAGATCCCCTAGGATTTGAAGCTACTTCATAATAAGTTAAGCTTTTATTATCGCAGTTTTGATTATTATCCACTAATCTAAATACTTGAATCTTTATTCTAATCACCCTAATGACATTGATTTTCTGTGCTGACTAATCCCAAAATATATTTGCAAATCCTGATGAGGAACACTATCAAAAATGTGTATTCACTCAAACTATATTCTCTAATTATCATTATAGAAATAGTTAAATTATTGTAGTTAGTAGTCAATAAGTTAACGGAATCATCTGAATAATATTCACTGTAGATCATACAGTCCACCAGTGGAGCTTATTTCCCAATATTAATCATTTTGTCTAGCTGTTCAATATCTCCAGGAGTTTATAAACACTGACTAGCAGCAATAATAAAGCGATGCAGCGTTATCTATCTTTGATCTGAGTACACTCACAGACGTAAATAACAACCACTATGAGGTAATTAATTATCCTATAGACTAATTCTTTTATTTTGAGAGCCGAAATTATGAAAGTTCAGTTATGCAGTCAGACAGACAGACAGACAGAAGGATAGACGCACAAACTGACAGACAATAATTGACGGATATTCCATAGATATAATGATAAATAAGCGAGTGTAATTTGCAGTCTACTTGAGACGGAAAAAACAATCGTATTTCAACCGACTGAAAAGTCGTGACTCAGTAGATCATTAATCAAAAATGATAACGGTAATGGAACTTAATATTGCGTGATGTTGAAAAATTATTGTGTATCTGACTGAAGTGAATTGGATTTGAATGGTTTTATATGTGGCGAGCATTTTGTTGTGTGCATTGGAACTGGGAGAATCTGAGGTTGGGGGTGAGGAATTCCTCTTACGTGAATTTGCATTTTTTACATATGTCTCACTCCACTTCCTGGGATTTCGGAAAATGATTGGAAACGGGTCAGTAATTAAATAGCCCTAATTATATTTTGAATTTCGGCGAAGTACAGAAAGTGTGCATTCAGGGCGTTGACAATTAATGTGATGTTAAAGGTTGCTTTCATCTTTTGTGAAGAATTTTTTGTGGAGGCTTTTCGTAATGGTGATTGTGAGCTATTGAAACTGGACGAAACTCTGTGTTCATTTATTACTAGTTGTTCGGTAGATTGGAAATACTTTAATTGTATACTGTTATTTATCGCTCGTCGGCTTGCATCGAAGTTCAAGTACACTGACTGCACGTGGAACTTGTGTATGCTTGTTACACAAAGTTTGAATACTTATTTAATTATCTTCTTTTGGAAAAATAGATTTATTTCAAATAGTTTTAACTGGCGTCACTCAGCTACAAAGGTACTGAATAAGACGTAGCACCTAATAGATTTTCTTTCCGAGTCTGAATCAGCCTAATAACTTGCATCTACTGTGAGAAGAATTTCAAGATAATCAAATAAAACATAAACCACTCTGCTGATTATAATTATCAAACAATAAAATAACAATTGTGAAATAATTTACTTTGCAGTATTTACAGTCATCAGCTATTTCGAAGTGTTCCAATTTAACGGGTAATGAACACTGATCACATGTATAACACCTGATAGCTCCTGATGAAAAAAAATCACGTCAAAAAGGATACAGAAATATCTGAATTAAGGTGTTAAGAATAAAGTTAACAATAAGTTGCAAATGATTTTTATTCTGTACTGATCAACGATTTAAATGTTGTAATAATTTACCGCTTATTACTTTGCATTAAATTATCTAAAAATCTTTGTCCGAATTACTCAATAGCAAATAGTTCGAAGGTAATATCATTAATAGACAGAATCAGCAGTTGTCTGCAAACTGAAATTATTCACAGGATGATCATTCAATGCGAAAATGTTTATAAAGCTTTCTTATTTATATTTGAGCTGAATGTATGTCCTTTCAGATAAAACTTGCAGTACCCGGAGAACTGTAGCAAACAGAGGAATAATGAAGAAGCTTCTTCGTAACAGTGTAAGAATCTATTGCCTTTGTTGTATTGATGATCTTAGTCTATATGGAACTGAAAACCTTCGAGTCTGCTGAATAATATTGTACCACTCACGTGGTGAGTTCGAATCTACTAGCTGATGCTCTCAATAGCTGCCAGTTAGCAGCATATCACTAAGGCATAAATATGCGTCAGCTGTAAGATAATATTAGGTGTCTAATGGTAGACTTCTTAGTCTGAACTAAGTTTCATGCCTGTCAATATTTTTCAAAATGGGCATTTCTGCGATCCTAAGAGAAATAATGTCTCCTCTGGTACGTGGTCCTACTGTTTCCAATAGTGCATTAAGACACATGGAAGGGGAGGTATTTGAGCATTTTAAAGTTAGATAGCGAAGAAATTCTTCTTGACTCAAACACTTGTACATCCATTTGGTCAGTCCGTTCTATATATATATATATATATATATATACTTAACATCAGTCTTTTATATTCAAAAAATGTAAAACTTACTCCAGGGGATTATTAATACTCATTTCTAATATGAATATTATCGAATACTCTAAACTCTTTGAAATACGAAATGTACACAGGATAACTGGATTACAGAACTGTGGGGTAGCAGTTAGACAAAACCTTTTCAACTGGCACTGAGCATATAATGACTCTGTGATGAGTCTCCCACTCCCTAAGTAAATGAATTTCGATTTTGACTACGTTGAGTGCATAACCATGCATATTGGTGATTTCAGCTTACTGATCTGGTTTCAATCTTACGGACTTCAATCACTGTGGCTGTTGCTTGAATTTATAAGCTAATAGCGATGATATTTTTTGTAGTTCGCTTCTTCTGTCTAACATGTCTTACGCCTCGTGAATTTTCTACTTTGCAGTGCATATAAACTAATGATTTCACCTAGAAATTTCAGGATTTACTTCCCCGTAATACGAATTTTGGATTCCTTAACTGATTATATCTTATCCACTGTCATTTCAACACTTAAAGTTAGCTATTTTGATCCTTTTACAAATATTGAGATTTCTCTTAGTCTAGCTGATGAGAATTTGTTAAATAAAATGACACATACTATTCCATTGTGCGTCGCTGACAAAGCAGAAAGGACACTCCCCGACCATACACACGGTTCTGGGTTCAATCACCTGCCGACGCACTCCTTTATCTCGCTGAGCCAGTAATAAAAAGCTGGTAAAGAGGAAAGGTTGGGCATGAGGCTAGCAACCCCATTCTGTATAAATAAACACTGCTTCAGAAACTTCAAGCCTTTAGCTTGAAGCCCTATGCTCCACTGGGAGCGTTAAAGAATAAAAAAATAATAAAAAAAATACTATTCCATACTAAAAATCTAGTCTTACAGATTCTATTAAAGTTTGTTAAGGAAACCCCATGTATGAAGTCGGATGTCAGTATGGCTTATAAAAACATCCACTAATATGGAGACTTTTTAAACCGTTATCAAACACCAACTGAATATCCAGTATTATCTGAGCGAGCAGTGCTCAGGTAACAAAAAGGATGAATGTCTCAAAAGTTTCTTGATCTCACTTCCATATATGTGTTTGATAACGGTCAAAGTGCACTGGCGTTGGTATTTCAGAAAGGCATAAAATATATGTTTTTAAAAATTTTACAAACAGTTTGTAACAACAAATGATCTATATCATAGATCTGATGCACTATCATTTCCATGTTAAACATCAAAAACAATCAGAAAAGAAAGGGGTCGATAAGAAAGGCGCGAAGAATAGCTCAATTAACAGCATCATCACTTAACTGTAGATTCCGTCACGAAACGGTATCAGTTAGAGAATCTTTGAAAATCACCTAATAATAGGCAGTTTCTCAGTAGTAGTAATAATAATAGCTTTATTCCAAACAGTATTTTTGGTACAAATATGGAATTTTCAGCATAAATGCATCTAATTTCCTCAATACAGGGGAAATACTTAAAATTGGGCATTCACATTGATAATATTGTTGCCTAAGAATAAGAATGTAAAATCAAGGAAAAATATTAACAACTATATAATAATAAAGAAAATAGGGCTGTTTACTTAGAGTCCCACAGTAAATTGGTAATGTCCTGCCTTACACTTTCCTCACCCCATAAAACGTGTGCCGAATTAGGTATTGTAGACTTTTTATACATAGTCATCCGAGCAAACAGTCTTCTATAGTTGCTTCTAGGTCTACCTAATGAGATGTAAAGAGAGATTTGTGTATAAAGAAGATGCTCAGGGTCTGACAAGATAATGTTTGCTAATTTCTTGCAGGAGTCCATGCTTCTATCTATGAGTTGATTTAGTGACACTCCACTCGCCCTACTAACAGCTTTTACGGTCTTTCTCAGTATGACAAAGTCTTTCTTAAGTAGTGTAGGAAAGATTAGGGTTGGAGGAGCACTGAAGAAGAATAGGCAGAATACAAAAATTAACAGATTATAAAAGTTGGGGCTGAGTGATGCTAGATTGTTTTAACTTCCTTACCTAAAAATGCCGGACGGAAATATCTTTCTAGAAACTAACACGATTTCGGAAGATCAGGAAATTTCAGAGGAAATACACAATCCAAGGTATTTAATATTCGACTTAGTTTCAACTTCTGTGACGTTTATGATATTGGAACCAAACGAACTAATCAGTTCATGTCAGTCACGTTTGTGTCTGAAAGTGAAATTAACAACCTGACATTTAGATGGATTAAGCTTGAGACCGTTTGATATGAACCACTGACTAATTTCTAATTAAAAGCTACTCAGATATGATGGAGAAGATTTGTAGCTCAGGTGGATGATTTTGATATAGTTGTGTTCTCTGGGCTGGATAGTTTATTTACGAAGCTTTCATTGCCCTACTAGGTAACATCTTCAGCGCATACTTCAATTTGATGAAGTGAGCTTTTAGATTTCTCCGCGAGTTTATTAGTCATCTCATTGGAACAATCTGACTGAGAAGTAACCTCCATAGAAACAGTCAGATCATTGGCATACTTTAAAAATGTGCCCTCGTCAGAATGGGACGAGTAATGTAAGAAGAAATAAAACAGAAATGTAGGAAGAACAGCTCCTAAAAGGAACACCAGCTAGAGTGACTGAAGCAGGTGTATTGTTTTCCATCAACAAAATAGGAATGCAGCTACTTGTCAGTCCAGCACTATACTTTTATTGCAGTATGCCTATTTACTTTTTATCTTGTTTTAGCTTGAGATTCTCCAACAAGGGGCTCAAACCTAAGATCATTAAGTTGTAAGCCAAATGTGTTCAGCAATTAGTCACTCGTTTGAATTCACTGGACTATCACTTGTGATTTCTGTTGTTTTGAGATTTAGTGCCAGTGCCAATCCATGCCAGTGATGAGCACCACTTTCACCGTCCGTCATGACTTCGCATTACAACACCAGGAAATCCATTTCGTAATTAGTCACTAATGAGCAAGAAATTACTATTAAGATTTTCGCTCTTCAAAATCTGATATTACTAATATCGAATAGTGTAAACGGATTCATTTGACCTTATTCTTGTTTGAACATTTTCTTTATGATGACAAAATTTTACACTATACTTAACTACGAAAATAAATATAAATATAAACAAACAGTATGGCGAAAATAGATCTTTTTTATCAAAAAATAATATACAATAGCAATGGTGATTTTCAAACTTTTAAATTAAACGCCAAAGAGCGAAGGTTTTCATAACATTGAAACATTGAACGGAAAAGAAAATGTAATTTCAACAATAAGCTAAATACCGATAGCAATAGTATCAATGAAAAAAAAATAACTGCTCACCTGTTTGAATCCACAGTGAAGTACTCATTATGAACATTATTAAAAGCAATAAATTCATTTTGTCCAGCTATTTTTTAAATATTTTTCACTGATTTTGTGGAAAGATACTGATAAAAAAAGTTTTCTGAGGTTTTATTAAATAAAATCCTGCTATGATTGTACTGTTATTAATCACATTAGTACTATTTTCAAATAAAGTAGTTGATATACACTCTAGAAAGCTTATTGGTTAAACAGGTTTTATAGATGAATAAATTGTAGCATTTACAAGAAAAAAAAGAACCTGACGATGACTGAATACTAATCACATTAGATGAAGTCATATGACACTGATAGCAATTACATTTAAACTTCTTTTAGGTTGATATATACAAATTAGTACATACAATAATACATATACATATAAACACACAGAGCTATACTAATGCAGCTTCGTAATATCATGAGTTCACTCATTTTCTGCAAATATATGTATACTAAATACAGAGAAATGTATTAGGCTTAATTTTTTCTCTGGAGAGCGTATCAGCAAGAATTGATTTGCCTAATTATTTTATTATGTAATTAACCTTGCGTTTTATTATATTATTACTACTACTATCCTTATTGTTATCATTATGATTATTACAAAAAAAATATTATTTGACAATTGTAACTGATAATTGATTAGTTAATTGATTTTATTGAATGCTGCGCTTAATAAATACTCAGTGAAAATAGGCCGCTTACTTTCATAAATATTAATTTTATTGTACAGACGATAAGGTATTTGCAAGACACGCATTTGGTACATTTGGTTTTACCGTATTTTTCTTTGAAGCCTGAAAATAATACTATCAAGATGTGTACTGGACTTGGTATCATAAATGTTGTTAAGATTAGTGACACGAAAACATAGGTAGTTGCCATTAAACACCTAATTTGATAGATAGGTTTATTTTAAATATCACATAGTGATACAGTATTAGTAACAACTGGATGATGTTTCCAGTATAAATTATTACTCATAATCATACCAATTTAGCCACACGGTTTCACAATTTGTCTTATGTATGTATATTTTTCCCCTCCTTCTTTCTGCCCTTCTTCTCCCTGTTGCTTGTTGCCACTTTCCATATCTCCGCTATAGGTGTTGTGTCATTTCGATTACACTTGTGTGGTTCAGTGATTAACCTCTTTGTCCAACCAACTGTACTACGTTTTAATACTATCACTCTGTCCCCATTAAAAGGAATGCTGTTAGGTGGAGAGAGAGGTCAATCACTGAACGCATATATATATATATTCCTTTACGTCCCCAGTGGAACATAAGGCCTCAAGCTACAGGCTTGAATTTTCAGTAGCAGTGGTTTATTTTTACGGGATTGGGTTGTTGCTGGCCAATCCTTCCCTCTTTACCAATCTTATTACTGGCTTATTGAGGTAGAGGAGTGCGTTGGCTGGGAATCGAACCCTGAACCACATGCGCGGTTGGCGAGCATTCTACTGCTTTGCCACCGACTCCCATGTATATATATGGGATTAGTTTAGTTTCACGAGTTCTCGAATGATCAGAGAGAAAACCCGTGAATATTTATTAAGCATCCTTTACCTACAACATGTAAATTAATTTCGTCCCATTCATTTGCCCTTCGACTTACTCCACTGTCTAAGCAAGTAGCTGCCTAAAAGAAATAGAGTATAGTGAAACGTTTCACACCCACTAGCACAATGAGGCTACTGATTTTGGAGTATAAGGATGATTAACCCTAAAGAGACTGAAAAACGCGTTCTGAAACACTGATGACCTGTACCATGGTTACAGCATTCCTCTTGTCTAAGTTAATTAAATTGTTTACTATCAGGAAAAACGAATTAGTGAATCGAATTGTTAGATCGTGAATATTGTGTTTTCTGAGATCTTCATGACAGGTATGACAGATGTAAGAATTTGAACTCATTTCTTCTTTTAAATATCAGTGGTGAAGAGGACTTTGAAGTCAACAGGTATTTTATAGAAGAAACCTTAAGTTACAAAATAATCTAAACAGCACAATTTGAAACGATGCACTCTTTAATTGCCTTTATTTCATTTTCATTTACATAGTAAGTCTTTGAGTATTCTGTAAGGGATGTTGTAGTTTGATTGAAAGATTAAATGGGGTAGTATGCTTACAAACTTGTGGAGATTGTGTTTAAAATAAAAGATATATGGAAAAATTCTAATAATAATGAAACCAGGACAGTATGAAAATCTTTTACGGAGGAAACATGATAAATTACTTATAGTATTAGAGGAGTTTGGCAATTGTAATTGAAGCAACGCACGAGCTATTTAATGACACGTGAAGTGACTTAGAGGTTATACATCAGGTCACGTGAATAATTACTTTAAATGTGCAGTACAGCTTGAATGTTTGAACTTTTGTTTTAACGCATTCGTGTAATATGGAGCTCTGACTTCACTGTGCATCCGGCGCGACTGCTTGTATGTGGCTTGCTCCTTCGTTGTAATATCATTAAGCTCACTCCTGGACTTGCTATTACAGACAGTTAACTGATAAGTTGTACAGTATCCTTATTTATTCAATTTGGCAATTAATCTGTTGTAAAAATATAATCCTAACCTGAGCAGACTACTTAGTCACAAGTCTTTTTACTTCGAGTTAGCTTATCGGTACTTACACGTTAGGTAGAGTACTGATCAGGTTACCCGGGGAAAAGCAAGTTAAGTAGGTGCTGACGTTAAGAACTATCTAGGGGTTGACATTGGCACTTATAAATACATGTACGAGGATGACAAAATGACTACAGCGCCTTATCATTTATTCATGTTATAGCCAGACATTATCCGCGGTGACTGCGTGAAACAATGGCCTGATTAGTAACTGTGTCTTGTAACTCAGCTAGCTTATACCTCAATCCAGATATACATTTCACCTGAGATCGTCGCCCATTACATTAGTATCAGTCTGGAAACTCAAAGCTATCTCAGATCACCTCAACCTCAATTGAAGAAAAAACTAATCTCATCCAGTGTCATCAGAATTAACAATTAAGTTGCTTTTAGCGAATTTCATGATGCTATAGATTTTGCCTAGGATGATAAAATAAGGAAGCATATATACACAATTTAACTTAGAAGGCCTGACCTGACTGCCATAACTATCCTGAGAAACTAAGTACATACAATGAGTGCACATATAAACAAAAACAGGAATATGTTCATTAACTACTTAAAAATGCTCCCCCAATGTGGTGGACAGATAGAACTAATAAAACAAAATACATGGATTGCTATGTCTTATGGTATTCAGGTAATTTCTCTTAACTATTCTCAACTACGGGCGTAATTTTTCTTAATTTTAATACTGATGCAGCTCTCCTGACATTTTTTTACTGTGCTCTATTACAGGATGTTATGACTTGATTTTATATTCGACTTTATAACATCATAATTTTTTATGTTCGAATAACTTTGATCTTTTTAACATTACTCATGAATTTATGACTTTACATTGGAAATACCATTACTGTTCCCTTCTTCTGATCTGCTATTTCCTAAATAATTAGTTATCCTGTGGGAAACAGATTACTACATTGTTGTAGGTAAATGTTAACAAAAAATTCACACATCGTTTTAGCAGAATACTCCATCATGCATAAAATGAATGCATGCAAAGTACACAGATAAAAACACTGTGGTATTTCCAATCCAAACTTCACGTGATTCGGACAAACTCATGCTAGTTTGTTTATCTGACACAGTTGAAATAAACTTATTTGCTGTGTATCATTGTCAGAATATTTGATCTGTTCAAGTTGTAAACGGTGATAAACTAACTTTTGGAACTACTTTATGTACACTAAATATTCTCACTTTCTCACTTCAGTGAAAGTAAAGTTTCCACTGTATCTGCAGTATTGTCTTACTTCGATTAGATGTGTTGATAACTAACTTCATGGGTGGGTTTTTCTGTTTTGTGTGATAATTACAAATTGACGTGAGCAAACAGTGTCTTTGTATAAGCAATGAAAATTTGTATGTCACTTGAAGAGCTAGTGAGGAAGAGACGTGAGGAGAATGAAAACACAGTTGAATCCAGTAAGGAAAATGGTGAGATCAGTGTGTGGTTTATCAATTCTCCAGTGTGTATTGCATTTTGTCGTTGTGAAAATTATTGTTGCTCTCATCAGTTTTACATACATCAGTTCTACCTAGACTGTTAATAATAAAGCATATGAGAGTAGTTTGTTGTTTCGGAAGTTGTAATGAGTAACTTTTTATCTGGAGTTTCTACCTTACTCAGCTTTTCGTCATAAACTCATCAAATACTTTTACTGAGTGTTAAGCAGGCTTACAGGCTTATGATGAGTTGCATTTCGTAGTGGATCCAGTATGGATAACTAGGATCTCAATCTACGTGACTGTGAATGAAGTCCACATCTCCAGCGAGGAAGATAGAGATCAGATAAGCAGTATAAATTAATAAAAGGAAAATTTAAAAATTAAATCATTTCTCTAAGACATTGTAGTCTTTAGAACTGCTTCATTGTACAATTATGTGCTGTAATTATTCTGCATTTAGTGTGCATTCAATGGGAGACGATCCTCCTTATTGATTTACTATTTTGTCTGATTGCGAAAACACGTATTGGGAGTTTCTGTTCCGACGTTCAAAATTCTAAATTTGATAATTATATTTGCGAAATATTCGCATGAAGGCGTAGCAATAATTATGAATTCTGACAACTCCTCAGAAGGTTTCTAAGGCACCAACTAGCTAATGTGGAGACGAACACCATGTTATTAAAGTATATATTTCAATAGGTCAAGGCAGTGTGAATGATTATGTGAAGTAAAGGTAGGAAAGTAAGTATACAACAAGCAGCCCAAGTAGTAGATTTCTCAAATATTGTAATTATAGAGTATGTGAAAGTGGTTGTCATTCAGGAGATTTGAAACTAGTAAAAAGTAGCACAGATTTGAGCATGTTTTAATTACAGGTGCTTTATTTTCCTGCTCATTACTCAATATTGTTGAACAGGGGTCGTACATATCTCGAATTCATTACATAAAAACACTTTCAGTTCAGTGTATTTTGCAGATATGATTATGTTGCTTGAAACGACCAGTAGACGGAATTGTATTCGATTATTTAACTTCTAAATCCCTATGA